GGCCTGACGGGCAGCTGAGGATTGCAGAGCCTATCTGCCTTACGGCCGGTCGGACAGACGTCCCGCCACCCACCACCCCGCACAGGACGTCCGCTCAGCGCACGCCTTGTTACGAGCAAGTGCCGGCTGGACCCAAGCCCTGCATCCCCACGTGCGGGGCAGAGGCCCTTCTCTCCGCCAAATGTCTACACAGTATACACAGGACATCGTTGCTGCCGCCACCGTGACTGGTTTTCTGTCCCCAAGAACGTGACGTTCGTGACGTCCTGCCCGCCAGGAGTCCTTCCCCACACCCTAGCAATCGCCGCCCGCTCCCAGGAGGCCAGGGCAGGCCCGCGTGGGCTGGAAGCGGGCGAGGCCAGCCCACCCCCTCGCTGGCACTGACTTTGCCTTGAACAGACCCCCCCGACCCTCCCCCACAAGCCTTTAATTGAGAGCCGCTCTCTGTAAGTGTTTGCTTGTGCAAAAGGGAATAGTGCCGTGGAGGTGTGTGTGTCCATGGCATCCGGAGCGAGGCAACTGTCCTGTGTGGGTAGCCCTCGGCCGGGGAGTGAGGCCGCCAACCAAAGTCAGTTCCTTCCCACCTGTGTTTTTTTTTTTTTTTTCTATATATATTTTTTGTTGAATTCTATTTTATTTTTAATTCTCTCTTCTCCTCCAGACACAATGGCACTGCTTATCTCCGAAATGGTGTGATCGTCTCCTCATTGAGCAGCGGCTACCACCGCGCTGTGGGTAGTGTGTGACCGTGGCTGTACTGTATAGTGAACATAGTTGGCATATCTTTGTTTGAAGTTTGTTGGTGACTCCACCAAACTGGTGTAAAAAAAGAAAAAGCTCAAAAAAATCCACAAAAAAGACAAAACACACAAAAAAATCCGCCTATATTTTACTCAGTTTCAAACTTTATTAGTCTATTTTTAATTATAAAACCAGAAAGCTGCGATTTCTTTTCCTTCCCCTCCCCCCCCACCCATTTGTTGGCTTTTTTGTTTTTTAATGTCAGATGTGTTGAGTTGGGTTTTTTTGTTGTTGTTGGTTTTTTTTTTTTTTTTTTTTTTTTAACTGAGAAAGGAAGGGCCAAGGGATGAGGTGGGCACCAGACCCTGGGGGTGCCACAGACTGAGACTCCCCCACCTGGCGCCCAGCCCTGACCAGCTGGCCGCTCCTGCCCATGCTTTTTTTTTTTTTTAATTTTATAATTGGAGCCCTTGGTGAGGTTACGCGTGCCATGAGAACCCACTCTACACCACGACGCTGGTGCCTCAGTGTTGGCCAAACTCTGGAGTCACTGACTGGTTTGACTTTCATACGGTGAATATGCATTTGGTCTGTACTGATCATGGAATAAACACATCTCTCTTTTTTAATGCTGGCGTCTCCCTGACATTTCTTTGTGAACTATTGCCTAGGCTAGGCCCAGGGGACCCCCTGGACCCCAGACCATCTCTGTACAGGATCTACCGCCAGGGATTACCTAGCCCCTCTCCTGTGACCTGTCCCTGTCTGCCCTGGGCAGGAGCCATGCAGGCTCATACCAACCACCCCAAGCTGAAGCTGTGACGCAGAGCCCGGTACCCATCCTTGTGGACCCTGGCCGAGGTGGAGGGTGTACTCCAGCAGAACCCTGGCCAAACTCCAGACAGTATTCTTCCCCTCCACCCTACTCCATCCTGTCCCTCCATTCACCAAAGGTCTTGGGCCACTTCTCCCACCTTGCCTGCCTCAACCTAACTACTCCTTTCATTTAAGCTCAGGGTTAACCAGATATTCTTAGATAAGTCTACATCCCCTGAAATAGAATCCTAACCCCCCCATGCATATACACACACGCGTGCACATTGCTGTCCCAGAAAGCCCACAGGTGGCCACCCTGCCTGTGTGCCCACCTGTGTACGCAGATGCCCCAGCCACAAGGCACGGGTGACGGCCAAGAAGAACCCCTAAGATGTAAGATACAAGTATATAATTTATATGTATGCAGAGACAAACTGAAACATTTCTAGCACTGTTTATTAACCTACATCCCCTCTTTTTGACCTGAAAGGTCCTTTATTGTCTTTGGATCTGCCAAATCTCCCTGTGAGGGTGTGGTTCAGGCATCCAGCCAGAGGCCCCCCACTTCCTCGATGTCCCTGCCCACTCAGGCACTTCCTCATATACCACTGTGCCGCTTCAAGTGTGACGTATTTAGGTTCTTTGGGGTTTCTTCCATCTCATCCCACCCCCTCATTTTTGTTCCTTGTTTTGTTCAGACACTTCCCCAGGCTGGGTCCAACTGCTGAGCTGGATAGTTTTCTCTGCACCTTCCTGCTGAAGATTTAACTCTGCCATGGGCTTCTCCACACCTCCCTGATGGGTGTCTCTCTAACTGGGTTGTAATTAGAACTGGGATCTATTTAATTTCTCCAGCCATTTCCCAACCCTTCCCACAGTACTAGAAATCTTAGTCCTATACCAGAGTAAGAGGTGTGTACAAGCCCCCACTGTACTGTATGCACGGATCGCTTGGCCAATAATTATGTCAGTGAATCTGAGAGCTGTATTAAACACTTTAGACATTTGTAGAAGGGAATTCATAGACTTTTCACTTATATACAAAAGGTTTTTTTTTTTTGTGCAGTTCTCATTGCAAAAATAAACATTTGTACTGAATATAAAGTTACTCTCCTTTGACGACTGCTGTCTTTTTGTTTGAGGGTAGACAGAAGCGGGGAAGGTGAGGGCTGGGGTTCAGTGATGTGTAGCAGAGGAAGAAGGGAGGTTCCCAAGACATGCACCACCCATGCGGCCAGATTAGCGGAGTCAGGAGGGAGAGATCCTGGGAACATTAAATTGTGAGAGAATTGATTTAATGGAAGGTGTAAAAGAAAAAGCTGCCAGGCACGGTGACTCATGCCTGTAATCCCAGCACTTTTGGGGGGCCGAGGTGGGAGGATTGCTTGAGGTCAGCAGTTAGAGACTAGCCTGGCCAAGGTGGTGACACCCCGTCTCTATTGAAAAACACAAAAAATTAGCTGGGCGTGGTGGCACACGCCTGTAGTCCCAGCTACTCTGGAGGCTGAGGCAGGAGAATCGCTTGCACCTGGAGGCAGAGGTTGCAGTGAGCCGAGATCATGACACCACTGCATTCCAGCTTGGGTGATTTGGTGAGACTCCCAACTCAAAAAAAAAAAAAGCTTTGATGTAGGCTAATCACACAACAAAAGAAAGGTAGTGGTTAAGTAATCCAGGGAGAACAAAAGTTTGTACACTATGGGCAATGTAGTCATAGAGGTCTATTCAGCCCCGAGATGCGTTGTTTACTGAGGCAGAACATAAACCACTATTCACCTTTAAGTAGCAACTTCATGGACTTAATTATGGTCCCAGGACAGTAATGTTTAGCAGCCTTGACAGTTCAAAGGTATATAGATAAAAGTGGGAGGTGGAAAGGGGCAAGAGGTGACAAGTGGAGTTTTTTTTTTTTTCTTTCTTTTTTTGAGACGGAGTCTGGCTCTGTCGCCCAGGCTGGAGTGCAGTGGCCGGATCTCAGCTCACCGCAAGCTCCGCCTCCCGGGTTTACGCCATTCTCCTGCCTCAGCCTCCCGAGTAGCTGGGACTACAGGCGCCCGCCACCTCGCCCTGCTAGTTTTTTTGTATTTTTTAGTAGAGACGGGGTTTCACCATGTTAGCCAGGATGGTCTCGATCTCCTGACCTCGTGATCCGCCCGTCTCGGCCTCCCAAAGTGCTGGGATTACAGGCTTGAGCCACCGCGCCCGGCAGACAAGTGGAGTGTTTTTAAAGGAAACTAATAGGGAAACAAAAAACAGCATGTCCAGGGGTAGTGATGTGAGCAAGTCTGTGGCTAATGTCATACATTGATTAAGTCAAGAAATAGAGGCGGGACATGGTGGCTTATATCTGTAATCCCACTTTGGGAGGTGGAGGCTTGAGGATTGCTTGAGGCCAGGAGTTTGAGACCAGCCTGGACAATATAGCAAGTCCTCTCTATGAAAAGTTTTTGAAAAATTAGCTGAGTGTGGTGGCACAGGCCTGTAGTTCCAACGACAGGTTGTAGTGTTTGAGCCCAGGAGTTCGAGGCTGCAGTGAGCTATGATCGAAACCCCATCTGAAAAAAAGAAAACGCTAAAAACGTTCCAGTGGCTGCTTCCGGGAGGAAGGGTAGGTGTAGCCACAGATCGCTGTCTTTTTCCCTACATCTTTGTGGATGGCTGTTTAACAGGATGTATGTCTTCAGGTAAATGACTTCATCCTCGAATTTCAGGTTCATGATCTACAGGATGTGATTATGCTACTTCGACCTAATAGGGTTGCTATACGGGTTAAGTGATGGGTGTCCCTAAAATGTTCAAGGATATCGGGAGAAAGGTTGCAAAATAGGAGGAAGAAGCTGGCTGGGTTTTTTTGGTTTTGTTTTTGTTTTGTTTTTTTTTTTGAGTCCGAGTCTCGCTCTGTCGCCCAGGCTGGAGTGCAGTGGCGCAATCTCGGCTCACTGCAACCTCTGCCTCCTGGGTTCACGCCATTCTCCTGCCTCAGCCTCCCAAGTAGCTACAGGCGCCAGCCACCACGCCCGGCTAATTTTTTTGTATTTGTTTGTTTGTTTAGTAGAGACGGGGTTTCACCATGTTAGCCAGGATGGTCTCGATCTCCTGACCTTGTGATCCGCCCGCCTCGGCTTCCCAAAGTGCTAGGATTACAGGCGTGAGCCACCGCGCCCGGCCAGAAGCTGGCTTCTTGCAGGGACAGCAGGGCCGCAAGGCTCTGTGACTCTAGGCCCCATCACACCCGGCCCTGTCCCACTTCCTTTTTCGGCCAGAACCCCAGAACCCCAGTGATTCAATAGGTCGGGTCCTCCTCGGGGGAACCAGGCCTGCCCTCTAGGAATCAGGGTATCCCCGCCTCCTTGGCCAGCTCTCGGAGCCTGGGACTCAACACCTGCCGATTGGCTGCCGGGCCAGGACCTGTCGCTTGGGCATCAGTGGCCGCCGCCGTCCAATCACAGACGTACAGGGGCGGGCGTGTGGGCCTGTTGGACCAGCAGGAGGACGGCGACGGGCCGAGGCCGCTGGACCCGCCGTTGGAACCACAGCTGGGTGAAGTCAGTGCTGCTAGGTCTTTGGAGCCAGACCGAGGGGAGGGTCGCGCGCCCCAGGGTGGGGAGCACCAGGCGGGCGTCGGCCGGGTCTCCCGAAGCCTCCTCGAGCCGTTAATACCGCCCGTGCCTCCCTCCTAGTCCTACATCTGGCATTGCCTGTCCCTCTTCGGCTTCCAGGCCCGCCCGACCCGCCATATTAGGTCCCGGCCCCGCCCTCCGTCTCATTGGCCCCCCCTACCCAGGCCGACCCTCAGCTCTTTGGCCCAGGCTCCCGCCTTCTCCGCCCAGTGTTAGGCCTCACCTTCTCTAGGATCCACCCTCTCCCTGCCCACCTTCATAAGCCACACCTACCACTCCAACTCTCCTTTCTGGCTTGTAGGCCGCACCTACTCTGCATATGCCCCGCCCCTCACTCCAGGTCCGCCCACTTAACTGAGGATCCAGGATCCCCTCCTTAAGGTTTGGGCTCGGAATTGCCTTTTTTTTTTTTTTTTTTCCTTGTGACGGAGTTTCCCTGTTGTCACCCAGGCTGGAGTGCAGTGGCGCGATCTGAGCTCACTGCAACCTCCACGTCCCGGGTACAAGCGATTCTCCTGCCTCAGCCTCCCAAGTAACTGGGATTACAGGCGCCCACCACCACGCCCACCTAATTTTTGTATTTTTAGTAGAGACGGGGTTTCACCACATTGACCAGGCTGGTCTCGAGCTCTTGACCACAGGTGATCCGCCCGCCTCGGCCTACCAAAGTGCTGGGCTTACAGGCATGAGCCACCGCGCCCGGGTCGGAATTGCCTTCTTTAGACCCTCGCCCACCTGCTGCTGAGTCCTCCTGGGCCCCGCCCCAGTCCTAAGCCCAGCACACGCCCTGCTAGGCCCCGCCCATTTCTTTCCCCCCTTTCCAACCCGTTCCTCCCCAGCCTCTGCACCCTACCCTTATTTCCTGTCCCTGTCGCGCCCAGGTGTTTACCTGGCACTCAGGTGAGTCGTGCGCTCCGGCGGTTTCGGTCGGAGCTGCCTGCCTCTTCCCTCAGCGCGTCCCACAAACCCCGACGGCACGGAGGGGCCCCAGGCCAAAGGCGGTGGGCCCCTGAGCCCTGACACCGCCTCGCCACTGCTGCAGGTGACCCCGGCCGGCAGCGCCGCCGTGGTCCCGGAGCGCAGCGACATGCCCGAGCTGGTGGTAACCGCGCTGCTGGCGCCGTCGCGCCTGTCGCTGAAGCTGCTGCGCGCCTTCATGTGGAGCCTGGTGTTCTCGGTGGCGCTGGTGGCCGCGGCGGTCTACGGCTGCATAGCGTTCACGCACGTGCTGTGCCGGCCCCGGCGCGGCTGCTGTGGACGCCGTCGGAGCGCGTGCCCCGCCTGCCTGAGCGACCCCTCGCTGGGCGAGCATGGTTTCCTGAACCTCCAGGTGATCGCACGGGGGCGCTATCGGGGCTGCGGGGTCGTGTGGGGTCGAGACGGTTCAAGCCTAGGGAGGGAGGGTTCCCCAGGCTTCAGGCTGTGCCCTCCCCCTAGAGCTCGGGCCTGCGTCTGCACTATGTCTCGGCTGGACAAGGCAAAGGACCCCTCATGCTGTTTCTGCACGGCTTCCCTGAGAACTGGTACGTCTGGGGCCCAGGGGCCTGAGGCGCACGGGACTCGGGGGCAGGTGGAGCTTGGGTTCCCAAGAGGCAGTGGGGAGGGCTGCGTAGATCGGAACAAGCTGAACATAGATGGGGACAGGGGTACTGGCCAGCATACCCAGATCCCTAGGCTCTGAAGGGACAGGACAAAGGGGTACTGAGGTTGATTGAGGCTCCCTGGATTCAGGGTGTAGTTGGTTTCAGCCTCAGCCTCTGCCTCTGCCTCTGCCTGGGATTCCCCATCCTCCTTTTAGGGGAAGTTTAGAGCAGGAAGGAGGGGTTGCCAATGGTTGCTGATGGGCGTAGGGTGCAGGTGCAACCTGAGGGCCCTGACTCAGCCTCTCTCCCCCACCCGCCTGGCAGGTTCTCCTGGCGTTACCAGCTCCGGGAGTTCCAGAGCCGCTTCCATGTTGTGGCTGTGGATTTGCGAGGTTACGGCCCCTCAGATGCACCCCGGGATGTGGACTGCTACACGATCGACCTGTTGCTGGTGGATATCAAGGATGTCATCCTAGGCCTGGGTGCAGACATAACCCCATCCTAGGCGTGGCCTCCCTCATCCTGCACACACACATACCCCCACTTTCTCCTTGCTGGAACCTACTTCCCCCACCCCTGCTTCAGTCCTACCTGGCACCTCACTTATGCCAGCTCCTCGGATTCCCACAGGTTACTCCAAGTGCGTCCTTGTGGCCCATGACTGGGGTGCCCTCCTTGCCTGGCATTTCTCCATCTACTACCCATCCCTGGTCGAGCGGATGGTTGTGGTCAGTGGTGCCCCCATGTCGGTGTACCAAGGTGTGTGTGGGAGTCCGGGACACTGGGATGTACTTGTGTGCAAGGGGGCAGGTACATGTGTATGTGTTTGCAATTCTCTGTATACCTGTCAACACATCAGGGGCCGAGGGTGCAGCAATCAACCCAGGTCCCTTCCGTTGTGGAACTCCTCATTCGGAAATTAATGACACGCCAGACCCAGTGGCTCACACCTGTAATCCGAGCCCTCTGGGCCGCTGAGGTGGGAGGATCACTTGAGGCCAGGAGTTCAAGACCAGTCTGGTCAACATAGCAAGACCCCAACTGTCTCTACAAAAAAAAAAAAAAAAATTGTCATTGGTGGTGCATGCCTGTAGTCCCAGCTACTCGGGAGGCTGATGCAGGAGAATCTCCTGAACCCGGGAGGTGGAGGTTGCAGTGAGCCAAAACCATGCCATTGCACTCCAGCCTAGGCAACAAAAGCAAAACTCTGTCTCAAAAAATAAATATATAAAATAAAATATGGTCAGGCGTGGTGGCTCTTGCCTGTAATCCCTGCACTTTGGGAGGCCAAGGCCGGTGGATCACTTGAGCCCAGAAGTTCAAGACCAGCCTGGCCAACATGGTAAAACCCCGTCCCTACCAAAAATACAAAAAAGTCAGCCGGCCATGGTGGCACACACCTGTAGTCTCAGCTACTCGGGAGGCTGAGGCAAGAGCATCGCTTGAACCTGAGAATTGGAGGTTGCAGTGAGCCAAGATCGCACCACTGCACTCCAGCCTGGACGACAGAGTAAGACTCTGTCTCAAAAATAAAATAAAATAAAATAAAAATCAATCACAATACACTTAGGACTAATCCACATTTTTTTATAGCGTTTACAGTAACAAGGAACGTGCACACAGTAACCTACTTAAGGCTCCTGGGCTTATGAAGGTTGTGTTATCCCCATGTTCCAGCTGGAGGAAACTGAGGCTGGGGAGGTTAACAATGTCTATCATATCACCTGATGTTAATACTCAGCATTGTGGTCATAACTGTGCTCTTTCTCTTTCTCTCTCTTGTTGGTTTTTTTTTTTGTTTTTTTTTTTTTTTTTTTTTGAGACGGAATCTTGCTCTGTCGCCAGGCTGGAGTGCAGTGGTGTGATCTCAGCTCACTGCAACCTCCGCCTCCCAGGTTCAAGTGATTCCCCTGCCTCAGCCTCCCAAGTAGCTGGAATTACAGTCCACCACGCCAGGCTAATTTTTTGTATTTTAGTAGAGACGGGATTTCACCATGTTGGCCAAGATGGTCTCAATCTGACCTCATGATCTTCCCAAAGTGCCGGAATTACAGGCGTGAGCCACCATGCCCAGCCACTTTTTTTTTCTTGAGATGGAGTCTCGCTCTGTGCAGTGCAGTGGTGCAATGTCAGCTCACGGCAACCTCCACTCACGGCAACCTCCGCCTCTCAGGTTCAAGTGATTCTCTTGCCTCAGCCTCCTCAGTAGCTGAAACTACAGACGTGTGCCACCATACCCGGCTAATTATTTTGTGTTTTTAGTAGAGACAGGATTTCACCATGTTGGCCAGGCTGGTCTTGAACTCCCGGGCTCAAGCGATCTGCTGGCCTCGGCCTCCCAAAGTGCTGGGATTACAGGAGTGAGCCACCACGCCTAGCAACTTCTACCTCCTGGGTTCAAGTGACTCTCCTTCCTTAGCCTCCAGAATAGCGGGGACTACAGACACGCGCCACCATGCCCAGCTAATTTTTGTATTTTTAGTGGCGATGGGGTTTCATTGTGTTGCCCAGGTTAGTGTCTTACTCCTGACCTCAAGAGATCTACCCGCCTTGGCCGGGCGCGGTGGCTCAAGCCTGTAATTCCAGCACTTTGGGAGGCCGAGACGGGCGGATCACGAGGTCAGGAGATTGAGACCATCCTGGCTAACCCGGTGAAACCCCGTTTCTACTAAAAAAAATACAAAAAACTAGCCGGGCGAGATGGTGGGCGCCTGTAGTCCCAGCTACTCGGGAGGCTGAGGCAGGAGAATGGCATAAACCCGGAAGGCGGAGCTTGCAGTGAGCTGAGATCCGGCCACTGCACTCCAGCCCGGGCGACAGAGCGAGACTCCGTCTCAAAAAAAAAAAAAAAAAAAAAAGAGATCTACCCGCCTTGACCTCCCAAAGTGCTGGGATTACAGGCGTGAGCCACCGCGCCCGGCCTATATATATATACATACATACACACACACACACACACACACACACACACACATATATATATATATATATATATATATATTTTTTTTTTTTTTGTAGATACAGGGGTCTCCTTAAGTTGCTTAGGATGAACAGGGAGTTTTGTCTGTCTCATTCACTGCTGTATCTAGAACAAGGCCTGGCATGCAGTAGTTGCTCAATAAGTGTTAGCTGAAGCAGAAGAAACGCACCCTGGCCTGGGCAGGGGAAGCACACCAGTGGATATGGGGGTTCCCAGGAGATGCCCCCATCCTGTGGATAGTGAAACATGGCAGGAGGAAATGTAGCTGGTGCCCACACCAGGAGGGGTGTCTGGTACCTTCACAGACCCAGGCAGGCAGCAGTGGCATTCCTGAGGCTTGTGTGCCTGACCTGGGTGTGTGTAGGGGTGCAGGTATGTGGGGCCATCCCAGGGGCAGGCCTTACATCTCTCCCCTAACCTTTCCATCCCAGACTATTCCCTGCACCACATCAGCCAGTTCTTCCGTTCCCACTACATGTTCCTGTTCCAGCTGCCCTGGCTGCCCGAGAAGCTGCTGTCTATGTCTGACTTCCAGGTACAGAGGGTACCGGTTGAAGGGAGGAGGGAAGCAGGTCAGGGCTGGGCAGACTGGGCACCGAAGCCAGAGTCCTGCTGTGTACCTAGATTCTGAAGACCGCCCTCACCCACCACAAGACAGGCATCCCACGCTTGACCCCCAACGAGCTCGAGGCCTTCCTTTATAACTTCTCTCAGCCTGGTGGCCTCACTGGGCCCCTTAACTACTACCGAAACCTCTTCAGGTAAGACCAGATGCCAAGCATGAACGCAGGAGATTTGCAGGGGCTGGGCGGGGGTGGGAGGCAGCCATCCTTCTGCCTGTCTGTCTGCCTGTCTGTCCTGGCCACAGGAACTTCCCCTTGGAACCCCAGGAGCTGGCCACACCCACATTGCTGCTGTGGGGGGAGAAGGACACTTACTTGGAGCAGGGGCTGGTGGAAGCCATCAGCAGCCGCTTTGTGCCAGGCCGCTTGGAGGCCCACATCCTGCCAGGCATGGGGCATTGGATCCCACAGAGCAACCCCCAGGAGATGCACCAGTACATGTGGGCCTTCTTGCAAGACCTGCTGGACTAGTGGCCCTTGCTGGCCTGCCCAGGAGGCATGGATACTCAGGAAGGAACACACATATCTGCCTGTGCCTGGGAGTCCATCCAATGTCCATACATGGGTGGACTCTTGAATCGCTCATACGTATGGGACTCCTGGATCTCACACAGGTGCACCTATGGGTGCCTTGGGACACACTAACCCCTGTACTCACAGGCATGGATGCATGCATGTGTAACAAGAACTTTGACCCTGGGAACTGGGTATACCTCTCCTCCAGTGGAGCCAGATGCCAAGGGGCCTCACTCTGCTCTTTGCCAAAGTTGGTTCTCTGCCATAGCTGCACAAACCTTAAACCCTGACCTTCCTGTCCCCGCCTTCCACCTCCTGCCTGGGTCTTCAGCTCAGTGCTACTCTCAATACGATACTGCTGACCGCATTTGGCTAGTTCAAGTTAAATGTATGTTAATGGAAATGAAATACAATGAAAATGCAGTGCTCAGTCACACCAGCTGTATTTCTTTTTTTTTTTTTTTCCCTTGAGACGGAGTCTTGCTCTGTTGCCCAGGCTGGATGGAGTGCAATGGATGCAGTCTCGGCTCACTGCAGCCTCCACCTCCCAGGTTCCAGCGATTCTTGTGCCTCAGCCTCTCGAGTAGCTGGGACTACAGGTGCGTCACCAGGCCTGACTAATTTTTGTATTTTCAGTAGAGATGGGGTTTCACCATGTTGGCCAGGCTGGTCTGGAACTGCTGATCTCAAGTGATCTGCCCACCTTGGCCTCCCACAGTGCTGGGATTACAGGCGTGAGCCACTGTGCCTGTCCACACCAGCTGTATTTCACATGCTCAATTGCCACATCAGTGAAGAAAGTTCTATGTGGCAGCGCTGATGAGGGTAATCCTAGCTTAGGAGCAGGGGTCAGGGCCAGCCGCAGTGGCTCAAACCTGTAATCCCAGCACTTTGGGAGGCCGAGGTGGGCGGACCACGAAATCAGGAGATCGAGACCATCCTGGCTAACATGGTGAAACGCTGTCTCTACTAAAAATACAAAAAATTAGCCAGGCGTGGTGGCAGGTACCTGTAGTCCCAGCTACTCAGGAGGCTGAGGCAGGAGAACGGCGTGAATCCAGAAGGCAGAGCTTGCAGTGAGCCGAGATCACGCCACTGCACTTCAGCCTGGCAACAGAGGGAGACTCCGTCTCAAAAAAAAAAAAAAAAAAAGAGCAGGGGGCCTCCCTGCCTGGCCCCTGGCAACCTCCCCAAGGGCAGACCCTCATGAGCAGGCAGATGGGTGTGCAGATTCCTCTCCAGCCAGTCCCAGGAGAGCTCCCGCAAGCCCTTTCCCTCACACGCCCGTCATGACCCCAGGCTTGGTCAGGTCAAGTTCTCTTGCCCTGGCCTGGGCTGGCCTGCCTCAGATCCCTGGGAAAACAGCTCTTGTCTCTGTTAGGACAAGTGAGATTCTGGATTCAGGGCAGGAAGGGACCAGCTCCCAGAACGGCCATCTGGGATCTGAGGCCTGCCTCTCCAGCTCCTGGAAACTTCTGCTCCAAATTAGCCACAGTTTCTGCTGACTCTGGAGCCCTCTGGGGTGGGGGTTACATGTGGAGGGTGTGCCACTCAGCCCCAGGCTGACCATAGCATCAGTTTGTACCTCCCTGGCTTGTGCCTGGCTTTTGGGGGACGTTACCATCATCACCTGTACCATGAGGACTGAGGGTCCCTGAGAAATACATTCTCCTGTCTCTGAGATGGGCCTGCCTGCTGGTCATCCGCCTCCCTTATCCCCAGCACAACATCCTGTGTGTGTGTGTGTGTGTGTGTGTGTGTGTGTGTGTGTGTGTGATGTGTGATGTGTGTGAGATGGAGTCTTGCTCTGTTGCCCAGGCTGGAGTGCAATGGTGCGATCTCGGCTCACTGCAACCGCCTCCCAGGCTCAAGCAATTCTCCTGTTTCTACCTCCTGAGCAGCTGGGATTACAGGCGCCTGCCACCACACCCAGCTAATTTTTGTATTTTTAGCGGAGATGGGGTTTCACCATGTTGTCCAGGCTGCTCTCGAATTCCTGACCTCATGATCCGCCTACCTCGGCCTCCCAAAGTGCTGGGACTACAGGCGTGAGCCACTGCGCCCAGCACAACATCCTTTTACTCAACATAGATACCAGGCGGTGTTATAGGTCCTAGTGATAGAGTGTAAGCCGGAAAGAGTTTAAGGAGGAGAGAGCTGACAGGACTCAGGGAAGGCTACACTGAAGACCAGCAGGTGGGACCCTAGCTGGGGGATGCACTTATTTATTGTTGTTTTGAGACAGGGTCTCACTGTGTTGCCCGGGCTGGAATGTAGTGGTGTGATCTTAGCTCACAGCAGCCTACACCTCCTGGGCTCAATCAATCCTCCTGCTTCAGCTTGTGGAGTAGCTGGGACTATAGGGGCATGCCACCGTGCCAGGCTAATTTTTATTATTTATTTATTTATTTATTTATTTTTTGAGAATGGAGGCTTGCTCTGTTGCCCAGACTGCAGTGTAGCGGCACGATCTCAGCTCCCTGCAACCTCCACCTCCTGGGTTCAAGCGATTCTCCTGCCTCAGCCTCCCCAGTAGCTACGAGTACAGGCGCATGCCACCACACCTGGCTAATTTTTGTAATTTTAGTAGAGACGGGGTTTCGCCATGTTGGCCAGGCTGATCTCGAACGCCTGACCTCAAGCAATCCACCTGCCTCGGCTTCCCAAAAAGGTTTTTTTTTTTTTTTTTTTTTTTTTTTTTGAGACAGAGTCTTGCTGTGTCACCCAGGCTGGAGTGCAATGGCCAGATGTCGGCTCACTGCAAGCTCCGCCTCCCGGGTTCACGCCATTCTCCTGCCTCAGCCTCCCGAGTAGCTGGGACTACAGGCACCCGCCACCTCGCCCGGCTAGTTTTTTTTTTTGTATTTTTTATTAGAGACGGGGTTTCACCGTGTTAGCCAGGATGGTCTCGATCTCCTGACCTCGTGATCCGCCCGTCTCGGCCTCCCAAAGTGCTGGGATTACAGGCTTGAGCCACCGCGCCCGGCCCCAAAAATGTTTTATAGAGACAGATGTCTCACTATGCTGCACAGGGTGGTCTCAAACTCCTCGGCTCAAGTGATCCTCCCACCTGGGCCTCCCAAAGTGCCGGGATTGCAGGCATGAGCCACCGTGCCCGTCTTGGGATGCACTTTTTTGGGAAGTGGGAAGTAGTGACTAGAAAGGTCCCAGGCGGGAAGAAGCTTGGGTCACTGGAGTCACAACACGCAGGCCAGGGGCTTGCTAAGGCAGAGTGAGCGAGGAGGCTTCAGAGAAGAGGCCACATAGCCAGACCGCCAGGGGCTGCGAGGAGCTTGGATTCGATTCTCAAGGGGAGCCAGGAGTTTTCAGCAGGGGAGGGACATGGCTTGCATTTTGAAGAGCTCCCTGTGGCGGTTGGACAGTCCCACGCAAGAGTGCGAGCGCCGAGGCCTGCGGGGGGCTGCGCGCGGCCACAGCACAGGGCGGTCCCACTGTCCCGACCAAGCAGGGACCCCAGGGCCTGGCCCAACCCGGGGCCCCCCTGCCGGGGTGGGAGCAAGGCCCCCCGCCCCGGGGAGGCGAGAAGACGGGCAGAAGGAGGAGGGAGCCACTGAGACGTGGGGCCCCGGGACATCGGAGCTCGCGGCGGAGGTTTGGGGCGAGGAGGCCTGTGGACAGGACCAGGACGGCGTCCAGGGGGCGGTGGGTCCAGCGACGGTTGCCGGGGTGACGGGGGACGGGTTGATGGTTGACCGGAACGGGTAGCGGTTGTCCCGGTGACCGGAGGGGCCCAGGCAGAGGCTGACGGGAGGCCTGGGTCAGTTGCCCTGGCGACGGGGTTCCGCTGACGGTTGCTAGGACGACGGAAAGGCGCCTTCTTCCGCCTGCGCGGCTGCAGGCGGGAGGGAGGCGGGGTCTTCTGGAGAAGGCGATCGCGTCGATTGGGCAGAGTCCTGGCGAGTGAGCCAATAGAGACTCGTGTCTCTCCTAGACCCGCCTCCCCCAGCCTGAGCCAATCCCGGCCCGCTTCCCCCCCCCCCCCCCCCCCCCCCCCCCCCCCGGCCCAAGGGCTTGTCGCGCGCATCTTTTAGGGCTGGAGCGGGGACCTCGGGGGCTTGGCCTGGGGTTTCTCCCATGATCGGCCTATCCCTCTCCCTGCCTCTAGTCCACTTTCTATCACTCACTCTCTCACTCCTCACTCATTCAGAGGTCTAGTCTGCATTGATGGTCCAGTAGTAGAATTCTCACTTCCCATTCATTCATTCATCCATTCATCTGTCCCTGCCACCTGTTCTAGGAGGGATGGTGGGAGACAAAACCGGGCTCTGACACTGCCAACAGGGTGTGATCAGGCCCTGGTGGAATGAGAAACGGGAGGAGCACTTACCTGGGGGGAGGGAGGGAAGGCTCCCTGGAGGAAGCAGTCTTGGAGCTGAACTTTGCAAAGCTGGGCTCCGACTCACAGAAGCCTCCCACGCAGGGATGATTTAGCATTTCCGTGAGACTGGGAGGAAAGTTTGGGATCGGAAGACGTGGAACTGTAAAAGGCTTCACATGCCAGCAGGGGAGGGTCTCGGACAGATCCGTGTGTCTGGAATGTCACTTGGGGGATGGTGAGAAGGCGGACCAGAGGGGCAGACGGAGGGTGGGGAGGCCTCAGAGGAGGATGGGCGTGGTCCAGGCAGTGGAGAACGAGACTCAAGTCCAGGCACTGGAAGAGGAGCAGATACGATGGGAAGGTAGAGAGGCAGGTTTGGGATATATTCAGTCTGACGGGGCTGGATCCCAGGGTAGGGACCTAGAAGCATGTTATGGGCTAAAGACAAAAACAGCCCAGCAAGCATCGGTGTATTGTGCGGCAGAGAGTCTCTGAAGCTGGGAGCGAGGGTGAAGTCTCCCTAGAGCAGAATGGACAACAAGACTGAGCCCTGAGGACCCCCAACACCTCAGAGACAGAGAAGAGAGGCCACAAAGGTAGGAGGTGAGGCCGGGCGCGATGGCTCATGCCTGTAATCCTAGCACTTTGGGAGGCGGAGGCCGGCGGATCACAAGGTCAGGAGATCAAGACCATCCTGGCTAACATGGTGAAACCCCCTCTCTATCAAAAATACAAAAAATTAGCCGGGCATGGTGGCACACGCCTGTAGTCCCAGCTACTCAGGAGGCTGAGGCAGGAGAATCACTTGAACCTGGGAGGCAGAGGTTGCAGTGAGCCAAGATCATGCCACTGCACTCCAGCCTGGGCGACAGAGGGAGACTCCGCCTCAAAAAAAAAAAAAAAAAGAAAGAAAAAGAAAGAAAGAAAGAAAAGAAAAGAAAGAAAGAAAGAAAAGAAAGAAGGAAAGAAAAGAAAAGAAAGAAAGAAAGATCAGGCACAGTGGCTCACGCCTGTAATCCCAGCACTTTGAGAGGCCGAGGCGGGAGGATCACAAGGTCAGGAGTTGGAGACCAGCCTGTCCAACACAGTGAAACT